TCATTGCATAAAATAATCAGCCTTTGTATTTAATATTTGTAAATTGTCCATCCAGTTTGACGCAAGCTAAACAACATTTTGGCCTGTTTTGCTTATTAAATGAGTGATTTTCACGGAGAAACAAATCATCCATACACACAGTTTTGTATAGGACCAGTGTGAACAAAAATATACACTTCATCGTAGCCTATAGGAAAATGTATCTGTTTAGAAACAATTTTGTTTGGTATAATTAAAAATATTAAAAATACAATAAAAATAAAATGGAAGAATAACATTTGAAGTGCTTCAAAATAATATTCACAATACGCTGCATGCAGCGCCAAAACACAAACTGTTTTTTAGTTTAATAAAATATTAATATGAACAGCTCCGAAAAGGCGCTTCTATTTAGCTTGTAGCCTAAATAATAGTTTAGATTTTATAACATATAATGTTCCATTAGTTTAAATGTATAATGTTTTTAATATTTATGGATTATATAAAATATATAGTTTATATAAATGCGCTTTGATCATTCAAGGATCATAATGCGTTGCATATTCTTCTTATTCTTCATTAGGCTTGATCCGTAAATTGTGTATTTTATAAACTGATCGTTTATAAGGACTAGGCTATTAATAACTGTAATTCCTCGCATGGAAAAGTCTTGATGAAAGAAATAAAGAGAACTTAATTCGGCATAGGCATATAGTGTGCTTATTTCTGCGCGCTTTACCGAATTACCTTTTTTATTATTTTATGCAGTAAATGCATCTGGCAGCACCGAAAAGAACAAATGTCAAGTTATTAGCGCAGCACACAGACAGCTAGCTCGTCTGTTAGTCTGAACCAGGGCTTTTCAAACTATTCATTGCACATCCACCGATCCTATTGTATTTTATTTAAGATAAACCACTTATTTAAAATATTCCGCAGCCTGTATATATATGTATATGTGTGTGTATGTGTGTGTGTGTTTGTGTGTGTGTATATATATATATATATATATATATATATATATATATATATATATATATATAAATAATGCCACTATAATAACAGCAACAAATACCAAAAAAATAAGACAGACCTACTTTGGTGTTGCATTAAAATCTTAAAGAGCGTTTTCACGGGTTGCCTGCATACTCTTCAATACACCACTGAATTATAATGTCATAATATTTAATAATTTAGTAATTATATTTAAGATAAACACCTGACCTCCATTTAATAAATACTAATTTGCCATATTCTGTAAATTTGAAGTTTAAAGTTTAAGTTAAATCATTTAAGTAAATAACTAAGTAAATAAAAATATTAATAATGATAATATTATAATAATAATAAAAATAATAATAATAAACTATTATTTTATACAGAGTATTATTTAGGCCTACAAAAGCCCTGAAACAATCATGTAAACCAGTTGCTGCTCGGAAATGGCTATCTTTGCTCAGCAACAGGTCCACAGCAGCAAGAAGCTTGGCAGTGAACTATGACCTTATTTTAATGACAAACGTCTAAGAATACTGCTAATTTATGTTTTTATTTAGTTTATACATACGCAATGAATGTAAGCCTGCCAACTGTGTGTGGTTCAAATGATAGAATATGTAAACTTAGTTTATATATAGGCTAATTAATAATAAATAAAAGCCTGCGTGTAAGGCTTTTATTTTGAGGGCGAACGTGAAAATGGGCGTTTCAGCACCGTCTACATGTGTAAAATGAATTTTAAAGTCGTTTATCCGTTTTCCTACCCTAAACCAAAAAAACGAAAATCCAGCCATAATTTCGTTTTCTCGTGAGCAAAAGAAAATGGGAAAACGGCCGTTTTCTCCATTTCCTTTATTCCGTTTGAAAATGGAAAACAAATGAACAAAACGTACGAGGACCATACACTGACCGTTTTTGTTTTCTGGTGATTTTATTTTTTGCTATTCAAAATAAAAAATCTAATCATTTTTGAATTTTGGTTTTTCGTTTTTCACCACGAAAAAGAAAAATGAGCCGTTTTTTCATTTTTGTTTTAAAAACGCCAGAAGGTTATGAGTAAGCCCACATAAAATCTGTGTGCACAGAAATCCGCAGAATTTTAGCCCATCATTGAGTCTATTTATTTACTTGTATAAATGTGTGTACATTTATTTATTTTTTCAGTTTTTTTAATTAATTTCAGTAATATTATTAACTAATATGAAAATGTTTATTTAATTTATCTACAATACAGTGTGTAAAGTAATATTTTCTGTCTTTTAGTAGAGATATTATAGAAGAGATTTGCTTTGTTTACCAAACAAGTGGATCTAGATAGATTTGCTTTGTAAAAAGCTTTTAATTAAGATACTCCCAAAATAAAACCACATAAATCCGCAGTTTTTATTTATTTATTTATTTTTTATACTAAATTCTCAGAAGAAATAGCAAAAAAGGTCAAGATTCTGTTTGGCCCTAGTTATGAGGTAAAATCTGAAAGAAAAGAGAAACCGGTGTGTAAATTGAAAACAATCACTTTATGGACTCAAGCAGTCAGGCAGGAACTAAAAGATAAACTTACGTAAAGTACGCCAGCACCTTTACTGAACAAATTCCAGTTTGTGCATTAAAAAAGGTTGGCTATAAGAGATTCTATGATGATGAAAATGTGTGTGAATGCACAAACCAGCAGGCTGAGCACACTGCAGAACGTCTAAAATGTTGTTTTGGTCATTCTAAAACACCTGAACCATTTCAGTATTCATGTTATTATATTATTAATGATCTCCAGAGCGTCTGGAGTGTGTCAAGAGTGTCTGTTCTCTGCATCTCATGGCTTCAAACGCCACCACATGTTCATTGTCCTCTGAGGGGAAAGTCATTTATTAAATAAGCAAAAGATTTTTAACTATTTCTACCGTAATAAATTCTGTTTTTACTGTTGATACCTGGAACCAGTTAATCAGGAAGTGTCGATTTTGTTCTTTTTGATTCATTGAATGGAAACGCTGATTTATTTGTGTATTTTTCATACAATATTCCAGTTTTGCAAATAAATTAAGTTCTCATTTTTGGATGGAAACACAGCTATTACCAACATTTCAGTCTCACAAAGAACAGTACGTCACGTATGCGAATGGCTTGGCCTTTAATGAATAATTAGCTTAACATTACAGACCTTCGACAGGGACATGTACTGTATCTATGAAAGCCTTCTCAAATTCTTCGGTCCATGGAATCTGATTCTTTATGGCTTTAGCCATGTCTTCTAAAGACATTCCTCTCAGACTTCCCTCACATAAATTGGGACCCAACTTCATTGGACCATTTCCCATTATCAAGGTGCTCAGTCTAGTGTTGGTTCAACTCAAATTAAGTCTAAGTTTAAAAACATTCATCCAGTCTTTTTTTTAAGGTGTCTAAGATCAAACCCATGCTTTTCTCCCCACTGCACCCCATAACCTCTGCTCCTCTGCCTCCCAGACTGGTTGAGGGTGCACTCACATACACGGTGCACTGGCCCCTGCATGTGAGGAGAAGAGGTAGAGAGGTTATCAGTATCGGGTAGACTGGAAAGGTTATGGTCCACAGGAAAGATGTTGGATTCCTGCTCTGGATATTCTGGACCGCTCTCTCATTGATCAGTTTCATTAGTTCCATAGTGAGTCTTAAGGGAATGCCAGGGGCCGTTCTTGAGAGAGGGGGTACTGTCACCGTACCTCACGCTTTTGCTCTCTTCTCCTGTTCTGGGTTACAGATTATCTCATGTCATCTGCTTTTATTTGCAGTCACAGAAGCTCTCGTTTCCCTTTTTTCCTGTTTATACCACATCATTCCCTTCATGTTTGTCAGTATGTTATCGATCATTTGTGTGCATATTATTTTGTTACTCACCCTGTATTTGTGTCCAGGACCGCTAGTGAGTGAGTGTCTGGTTGTTTTTTCCCATGAAACTTTATCAGCGCTCACCCGACTGGGTGTTTACTTTGATTTTTGCTTTTTCCGGTTCTCACTCCTTAATAAACCCTTGTTGTTTTTCTGCATTTGATTCAGTTTTTTTTGTTTTTTGTTTTTTTTTTACTTATGACACAAGAATTTTCTTTTTCATTTGTGTTTACATGTCTTTAGATTTTGGCATGATGTCTAGCTTTTGAGGCTCTTTTGGTCTACTTCAGACAGGTCCTATTTAGGTAATTTCTTGATTGAGAACGTGTGGTAGTTATCAGGTCTGGGTGTGGCTAGAGAACTTGAACCCGGTGTGATAAATAAAGTTATGTTTAATGGGGAAAAACATTTTCACACAAGTCTGTGTAGTTCAGTGTTTTGTCTTCCTTTTAAGAATAAAATTCTTCATTTAAAAACTGCACAATGCATTTAGTTATGTTATCTTTGTCTAATATTTACATTTGTTTGATGATCTGAAACCGTTAAGTGTTAGTATTCTGCATTGCATTCGTTACATGCAGATTACTAAACCAGAGAACATTTGTCATCTAAAGGTGCAGGTTTAAGGCTTTATGCAGATGTTATGCAGATATGTCTCATGTCTGTGGGGCAAATATTCTCAGAGATTCAGCTGCTTTTTTTTTCTGACAGGTTTACCAGTCAGGCACAGAATGAAAAAGCATTCCCTATCTGCTTTACAAGTTTTTCAAAAACATGTTGTTTTGTGTGATTACGAATATATACAAATAGAAACTGGCCATTTACAGTTTTCAAATTTATGTCTCATCAATATGACCAAAATGCTCTGGGATTAATCATATAAGTATTCGCTTAAATGTGTTTGTGTGTAATGGACACTAGGAGGTTAATATGACAAGATCAATCTAAATATGATCTGCTGTTTTTACATTTAATGTGCATCAAAATTAAAGTTTTTACTTCCTTTTCACTGAGAGTTTTAATGATTTACTAAAAGCTGAACTTTTTTTTATTATTTCAGACCTAGTTAAAGAGTATGAGAGGAGTAAAGAGGAGGAACATCATGTCAAAATTGAAGACAAAACTCATTTAGAGACTGATGATATTTTAAAAATGAGAGACAAGCGTTGTTTTACCTGCAATCAGTGTGGGAAGAGTTTGGCAAACAAAAGCAAACTAAAGATCCACATGAGGATCCACAATAGAGAGAAACTATTCACATGCACTCAGTGTGGGAAGAATTTCAACCAATCATCACACCTTAATCAACACATGAGGATTCACACTGGAGAGAAACCATTCACATGCACCCAGTGTGGGAAGAGTTTCAGCAACTCAGCAAACCTTAATCAACACATGAGGATTCACACTGGAGAGAAACCATTCACATGCACTCAGTGTGGGAAGAGTTTCAGCCAATCATCATACCTTAATATACACATGAGGATCCACACTGGAGAGAAACCATTCACATGCCCTCAGTGTGGGAAGAGTTTCAGCCAATCACAATACCTTAATCAGCACATGAGGATCCACACTGGAGAGAAACCATTCACATGCAGTCAGTGTGGGAAGAGTTTCAGCCAATCATCATCCCTTAATCTACACATAAGGATACACACTGGAGAGAAACCATTCACATGTACTCAGTGTGGTAAGAGTTTCAACAAATCATCAATCCTTAATATACACATGAGGAACCACACTGGAGAGAAACCATTCACATGCCTTCAGTGTGGGAAGAGTTTTAGCCAATCAACATCCCTTAATCAACACATGAGGATCCACACTGGGGAGAAACTATTCACATGCACCCAGTGTGGGAAGAGTTTCAGCAACTCAGCAAACCTTAATCAACACATGAGGATTCACACTGGAGAGAAACCATTCACATGCAGTCAGTGTGGGAAGAGTTTCAGCCAATCATCATACCTTAATATACACATGAGGATCCACACTGGAGAGAAACCATTCACATGCCCTCAGTGTGGGAAGAGTTTCAGCCAATCACCATACCTTAATCATCACATGAGGATCCACACTGGAGAGAAACCATTCACATGTACTCAATGTGGGAAGAGTTTCAGCCAATCATCAAACCTTAATATACACATGAGGAATCACAGTGGAGAGAAACCATTCACATGCACTCAGTGTGAGAAGAGTTTTAGCCAATCAACATCCCTTAATCGACACATGATGATCCACACTGGAGAGAAAGAGTTTATGTGCTTGAAGTGTGAGAAGACTTTTATTACAGCTGCAGAATTGAAACGCCACCAGAGGGTTCACACTGGAGAAAAAACGTACAAGTGTTCACAGTGCAGTAAGAGGTTTGCTCGCTCAGGAACCCTGAAAACACATGAGAGAATTCACACTGGAGAGAAACTGTAGACGTGATCAGTGTGTACAAAGTTTCACTTAATCAGGGCAGCTTAAGAAACACATGGGATGGTTTCTGGTAAGGCGCCGACACATGTAGCAGCATAGAAAGAGCGCTTCCATACACACTGGTATTAATCCTCCTTTTTACATCATATATAATAACCTAAACCATATTTAAATGACATGGAGGAGGGACAAAAACAAAAAGGCTAGGACAAAACAACCAGTTAATCCTGAAAAAAATGAGAAATCAACAGATGAAAAATCCAAGACAGACGGAATAGCTGATAGCCTGTCACCTATCATTTCAGCAATATTTACAGACATCAAAGCTTTCCAGAAGAATATTAAATCTGATTTAACCGCCTTCCAAGATTCTCTCGCAAAAGATGTGAAAATGGAATTAAGTAACTGTAAACAAGAAGTCAATCAACAACTGGATGACCTTATCACGGACCTAAATGCAACGACAGAAAAGGTCAACGAAGTGGAGCAGCGAGTTGGAGAATTTTGGAGGAGAACATTGCAGAGATGAAAGAAATGCTCAATCAATCCATTCAAGTACAAGAAAATTTAAAAGAGAAACTGTGAGATATAGAAAAACGCTCCCGTAGAAATAATAATCAGATTTTTGGAATCCCGGAAGAAAGCATTCTGAATGAAAAGGGAATTAAGTTCTAAACACCACCGCCGGCAAGACTTAAAATCTTTTTGGAAAACAAAGGACCTGGTCCTCCGCTTTGCATGGAGAAAAAAAGTAATACACTGAAATAAAAAAAGAATTTTCTTTGACCAAGACTACCCACCTGAGATCCAACAGAAAAGACGGGCTTTTGCTCCGATAAGAAAAATTCTGAATGAAAAGGGGATTAAGTTCCAAACACCGAATCTTTCTGGAAAACAGGGCAGTCATGTACAATTTGATGACGGAGGCATCAAGAGAAAGTCTGAAAGAAAAAGGACTGATAAACAGCGAAGAAGAAACTATTATAGGAATCCCTGGGAAAGAGAAACAAAGACCTTGGCAAAAGGTTGGAGTGACATGGAAGAAAAGTAAGGAAAAACATCAAACGAAGATCCGGGAAAAACTATGTGAATTTCAAAGGGACAACACTAGCTTTGTTTGGAAGAAGGGTAAAACCTGACAGATCCTAACAAAGAACTCTGAGAGACTGGTAAAACTTCTTGACTTGATTCACCGATAATGGACCAAGGTTATAATAGTTTTGGATTTTTCATTAGTTTTAGTTTCTATTTCGTTTTGACTTTTTATTTTCAAATTCAGTTAGTTTTAATTAGTTTTAGAGGCAGATTTCTTAGTTTTTATTAGTTTCTATATTTTAAAAATGTCTTTTTATTAGTTTCAGTATTAGTTTCAGTTTTTTTAAATGTGGATATTTGTTAGATGCAAAATTCTAAATCAACAATATAAATATTGTATAATAAAAACTCAACCACACATTTTTTGAAACATGTATTCAAAGAATATGAACACTATCATCCACCACAACCATCTACCCATCCTCAAGTTAGACACCCAGTAGTGATGGACAGGGCCGGATAAAACTATAGGCATTATGGGCACAGGCCCAGGGGCCCGTCCGCACTTAGATTTTGCCTACTTTTCATCACCAGAAAGACAAGTGGGAATTATTGATAAGTGTGTGTATTATGGAGGACTCCGACTCCTAGAACTGGATTGGAGAGGTGTTATCCAAATCATGTGCAGTATAAGTTTGTAGAAGTTATACATTAAAATACCCTAAATATACATTTTAATACTGCTTCAGTGAACTTGAACAAGTACATTAAAATCCATTAATTTCCCCTAGTTGTATTAGTATTTTTTTCTTTCAAATTAAATGCTTTAAAAATAGGTTAAATCTTTGTAGAATAGAAATATATGTACTGTATATCAATTATTTAAAAAATGTGGGCAATACATTATAGATAATTTTTTTATCAAATATTATATTAATCTTATTTTTTAATTCAACTATAGGGTGCGGCTATAGTGAGCCTTCAAGACATTGTGCCCAATGGGCTCTGAATTATTAATCCGGGCCTGCTGATGGGTAATTCAGATTTTTAACGTGGATGTTAGGACTCAACATTATGTAGTCAGCAATAGTAATTTAAGTCAATTAAAATGATCAGAAAAGTCTTTCAGTAAAGTTTTGCAACCCAACTGAATCATGATTCACTCATTTAAATTCCATTATGATTGTCTGCTATGAAATAAACTTGCGTTTTTTCACCAGATCCTCTCATTTAAGCCTTAGTTTACCCGTGCTTCAGTTCTTCCAGTTCAGTTCAGTGGTTCAGATCAGTCACACAGCAGGCTGAGGGCTGTACTGTTTTTGTTTGGTTCACTGAATCACGCATGCGCAGTATTAACGGTTCACCGCTTCTCAATGTAAAGTTGCTGTTCTAATAACTGAATGAGAGTATATATTGGCTTATTTAGAGTCAGAGGGGTAGTAGACTTGTTATAAAGTAAGTAGTTGGTGGATAAGTTCTTACTGGAGACGCGAATCGTTTCAAATGATTTAGTTCGATTTAGTGAACTAGTTCAACTGGTTCAGTTAGAAGATCCGGTTAAAAAGATTTGTTCGCGATCGCGATACAGAAATAAAACCCATTATTGGGCATAAACGTGTTAAAGTAATACTTTTAAGTATCTTTATTTAATGCTGTCGCCGTGATGCTGTCATGTCCACTCATTGCTTTTGTCGCGGGAGCAACAGCGAGGATGACTGGAGGAGAGCCGGCTCGATCCGGCCAATGGCAGCAGGAGACACTGAGGTGCGGAAGGATCAAACACAAACACCTGCAGCGCGGAATATATTTACTTCTAAAAGGCTTACAGTAAGATTATGTATTAAATACATTTACAAACACGAAAACGAGGTTTTTGCTATCATTTTAGTTTGTTTCAGTTAGTTTTGTATCTACACAACACAGTTTCAGTTAGTTCTAGTTTTTAAAAGAACTAGTTTTTAATTTTATTACAGTTAACGACAATTATTTTACATTTTAGTTTTAATTTTTCGTTTTCGTTAACTATAATAACCTTGTAATGGACATTTAAATAGTTTAAAGGAAGAATGGTATTTAAACAGACTGACCAACGACACAAGATGAACAATTAAAGCACACCAAGACTCAAGCCATTGAGTAACATACTGGTAGGAAGACATAAAAGGATTCAAATTTATACACTTAAAATCCCTTGCTATAATTAGTATAAATATTAAATTTGAAAACCTAGCCAGAAATACAAGAATATTCCCAGACATGGGAGCTGAATATATTCGTTAACATTTTTTGTGCAATAGGCACAGCAAGGAGAGGCCCTTTAGAGAAGGAAGACTTTCCCCTCACGTTAAGAAGTTATTTAAGACTTTAAGGGTTGAAGACCGTTTTCGTTATTTTTTGTATGTGTTAAAGATTTTCTTGTTTGTGTTTTTCATGTTCCGGTCACAGTGATCTTCGCAATAACATCTGATTATAGTATATGCAAAAACAGAAATATAGAGTAATTACTTTCAATATTAATGGGTTAGTAAATCCGATTAAAAGAAGCAAACTCAAGGCTAAAATAAAAAGAGAAAAGCAACAGATAATCTTCTGGCAAGAGAAACATCTTTCTGATACAGAACATAAGAAATTGGAAAAAAATGGGATTTAAGGTTTTCTTTTTATTTTATTATCTTTCTCATATAATAATGGTCGTAAATAAGGAGTAATGACATTAATCTTAAATAAAATCTAATTTCAGTTAATTTCTGAAATTACTGATAAAAAAGGATGAAGGAACTATCGACCAAAAAGTTGCGTTAGTTAATATATTTAGACCTCCTGAAAAAGACAAAGCATTTCTCAAAAGAAAAAAAAAAGTATTATAGCTAAGGAGGTGTCAGGTATGTTGATCTGTGGGGGAGACTGGAATGTACAACTTCAGCCTAAATTGGACTCGTCCTCTAATAAGCAAATTAGTCAGAAAACTAAACAAATAAAATATCTGATGAAAGAATTAGGCTTAATAGATGTTTGGAGAGACATTTACCCTCTTAAAAAATAATGTACTTTCTTTTCTACCGCCCACATGTATCATTCTAGAATTTATCTTTTTACTTTAGGTCTGATCAACATAAAATAAAAGACTGTAAAATAGGAACAAAGGACATCTCAGACCAAGCAGGAGCTTATTTAACAGTGTACCTGGACAATAAAGCCAAAAAGACATTTTGGCGATTTAACCCTTATCATTTGGATGATTTAACATGTGTAGAATATGTTAAAAAAGAGCTATTAGAATATTTAAAACAATGATAATGGAGAGGGGTCACCTAGTATCCTATAGGACGCAGCTAAAGCTGTTATGCGAGGTAAACATAATGTGGGGATCAAGGAAAATAAACTGAATTACATGAATAATCTAAATATACAACTTAAAGAATTAGTTACTAAATATGTAATGTAATGTAATGTGTATTTATATAGCGCATTTATTGTGTATGGCCACACACCCAAAGCGCTTCACAATCATGAGGGGGGGTCTCTCCACACCACCACCAGTGTGCAGCATCCACTTGGATGATGCGACAGCAGCCACAGGACAACGGCGCCAGTGAGCTCACCACACACCAGCTATTGGTGGAGTGGAGAGACAGTGATAGAGCCAATTTGGTGGAAGGGGATGATTGGGAGGCCATGATTCAATGACTGTAAAAAATATGGACGACGCGACAGCCCCTTTTCCCATTGAACGCCTTGAAGGCAAAACGCCTGTTTGACGGGCACAAACTGTCGCAAAAGACTGCTGAAATAGGAGCGTGGACATGCACAGAAGGACTGTCTGATGCTGCGTTCACACCAGACGCGGAACACGCGTAAAACGCGAGTGATTTACATGTTAAGTCAATGCATACCCGCGAATACACAT